TTGCCTTTAATCAGGGATTTTTGTGGTCAATACTAATGTCTAGAACCTTTATCCCTCTCCTTGCCTCACTTGTCCTGTGGTCGAACATTCTGGCCTTTGCCACCTTTCCCATTCCTGTTTTCAGGGTTTTTCTGGAACGGTGTTTGAGCTGTTTAGTCCTGGATGTTCTTTGTTGTTCTCTCCTCTTACTGTGTGTTTACTGCTTTCCACAGTTTTCTAATCGTTCTGAGACCCATGCTCTCACTCTTCTCCTTCTATACTCGAATTCTCAGTGCTTTTAATTTGAAGTCTTCTCTGTATTTTATTGAGCTGCTGTTTAGCTCCTACTTCTCTATCATCTGTCAAGATGTTAAGCTGAGGACCAGCAGATACATCTCCACTCACTTAACATATGACGTCTTTCATGTTGTTGAATGTGACCATCAGTCGGAGACTTTGTGTCTGAGCCAGCTGATCTCATTTGTATTTTCCCGAATATACCCCAGTAATCTCTGAATCCTGTAAAGCCATTATTTGTGGCCATGTTTTGTGTCTCACCCCCGTTTTTTTAATGGAAGGAAAAACTGAATCAGAAAGGAGTTGATTGGGGGTATCTGGATGTCTCAGTCGGTTAAGTGTATGACTCTTTTAAAAAAAATTATTATTATTTTTTTAAGATTTTATTTATTTATTTGACAGAGAGAGATCACAAGTAGATAGAGAGGCAGGCAGAGAGAGAGGGAGAAGCAGGCTCCCCGCTGAGCAGAGAGCCAAATTCGGGGCTCGATCCCAGGACCTCGGGATCATGACCTGAGCCGAGGGTAGAGGCTTAACCCACTGAGCCACCCAGGTGCCCCAAGTGTATGACTCTTGATTTATGCTCAGGGCATGATCTCAGTGTCATGAGATCAAGCCTCGAGTTGGGCTCTGTGCTGAGCATAGAGCCTGCTTAAGATTTCTCTCTCTTCCCCCTCCCCACCATGCTTGTGCACTCTCTCTCTCACAAAAGAAAGAAAGAAAGGAGTTGATTGATTGTCGGTTTTAATAACAATGAAAAGAGGCTTGTGAATTATGTTGAAGAAGCCCAGATTTCCCCCCAGCCCTGATGTATTTTGTTTGTCCATTTTTCTAAATTGTCTCCCCTTGTCTTTTCACCAAGCCCTGTGCCATCTTTGAGCACTGGCAACTGCTAGTCAGTATGATCTAGTGCACTGGCTTCTCCTTCCCTGCTCGTTAGCCCTGCTGACACCAGATAGAATGCTGTTTGTTGTCTAGGGGGAGGGATCTTTGGACTTTGCAGAAGCCAGTTGTCAGCTCCACAGTGTGATTGATTCTGGGAAGGCAGCTCTCTCTCAGAGCTATGGAGGAAGCACTTGCGTGTATCCCATGGTGCTCCTTTCCCTGGCTTAGTTTCTTTCTTCTTTTTTTGTCTTATTAACATATAATATTTGTTTCAGGGGTACAGGTCTGTGATTCATCAGTCTTACACAATTCGCAGCACTCTCCATAGCACATACCCTCCTCAGTGTCCATCACCCAGCCACCCCACCCCCTCTCCACTCCAGCAACCCTCAGTTTGTTTCTTTGAGATTAAGAGTCTCTTATGCTTTGTCTTCCTCTCTGGTTTCTTCTTGTTTCATTTTTCCCTCCCTTCCCCTATGGTCCTCTGTCTTGTTTCTCAAATTCCTCATATCAGTGAGATCATATGATAATTGTCTTTCTCTGCTTGACTTATTTCACTTAGCATAATAGACTCTAGTTCCATCCACATCATTGCAAATGGCAAGATTTCAGGTTTTTTGATAGCTGCATAATATTCCTCTGTGTGTGTGTGTGTGTGTGTGTGTGTGTGTGACACAAAGATGTCATAGAGAGAGAGTGCACATCTTTTTTATCCATTCATCTGTTGATGGACATCTAGGCTCTTTTCATAGTTTGGGTATTGTGGACATTGCTGCTATAAACATTGGGGTACACGTGCCCCTTCAGATCACTACATTTGTACCTTTGGGATAAATACCCAGTAGTGCAGTTGCTGGGTCGTAGGGTAGCTCTACTTTCAACTTTTTGAGGAACCTCCATACTGTTTTCCAGAGTGGCTGCACCAGCTTGCATTCCCACCAACAATGTAGGAGGGTTCCCCTTTCTCTGCATCCTCGCCAACACCTGTCGTTTCCTAACTTGTTAATTTTAGCCAACCTGACTGGTGTTAGGTGGTATCTCACTGTGGTTTTGATTTGTATTGCCCTGATGCCCAGTGATGTTGAGCACTTTTTCATGTGTCTGTTGGTCATTTGGATGTCTTCTTTGCGGAAATGTCTCCCTGGCTTAGTTTCTAACCTTTTTGAGGCTTAGGACCCTTTTTAACTTCAGAATGTTTTCTGACTTTTCTCATGGTAATTAACTATACTTCTAGTGCCTGTTGATAAATAAAATATGCTGTTATGAAAAGCTGTCCTAAATTCATTTGTACTTTAAAAAAATTTTTTTAAAGATTTTATTCATTTATTTGACAGACAGAGATCACAAGTAGGCAGAGAGGCAGGCAGAGACAGAGAGAGGGGGAAGCAGGCTCCCTGCTGAGCAGAGAGCCCGATGTGGGGCTCGATCCCAGGACCCTGGGATCATGACCTGAGCCGAAGGCAGAGGCTTTAACCCACTGAGCCACCCAGGCATCTCTTTCCTTTTTTTTAAAGATCTGTTTATTTGAGAGAGCGAGAACATGAGTGAGCCTGGGGAGGGGCAGGGGTAGAGGGAGAGAGAAAATCCCAGAATCTCAAGTAGACTCCCCACTGAGCTGGGAGCCTGACTCCGGGATTGATTTCACGACCTTGAGATCATGACCTGAGCCAAAATCAAGAGTTGGATGGTCCACCGACTGAGCCACACAGCACCCTTCATTTGTACATTTAAGTGTGATATGGGGGGGGGGTGGCGCCTGGGTGGCTCAGTCTTTGAGCATCTGCCTTCGCCTCAGGTCATGGTCCCAGCCTCCTGGGATCGAGCCCCCAGCTCCCTGCTCAACAGGAAGCCTGCTTCTCCCTCTCCCACTCCCCCTGCTTGTGTTCCCCCTCTCACCGTGTCTCTCTCTCTCTCTCTCTCTCTCTCTCTCTGTCAAATAAATAAATAAATAAATAATCTGAAAGAAAAAAAAGTGAATTGGTACTTTGGTCAAAATTTGAAGCTACATATATTTGAAAAATAATAATATGCTTAATTTGAGAACTATCTTATTTGTTTGATATTTATCTTCTCTTGTTTGTATATGGCTACTGAGATCTTGTAACAATTTGTGGGTTCCCCAGAGCTGCAGTGTACTAGTCATGAAGTTCTGACTTCATTGTTATTTTTAATAACGTTTTTACTTTCCATATAGTCTGTTTTCTCTCCCTCTCTCACTCTCTCTCTGTTTCTTTCTTTCTCTCTCCCTTTGCCTCTCCCTTCATCTGTAGAGTTTCAAGTCAATAGGATAGGATATGTTAAGGAAAACAATAGTATGTCTTCTCTTTTGGGAAAATAAAGAGCAAGTACCGACTTTTAATGGATCAGCTTCCAATATCTCTGATATTGATTTCTCTGTTAATGCTCAGCATCCAATCCCACTAAGATATAAAACCCTTCCTAGGCATTCATTTCTGGCTTCTAAAGCTCCCAGTAGTCCATTTGAAAGCTAAAGTATTCTCTTAACTTTGGTTCCAGGGCCAGTTCAAAGATGATCTCATTAAGTTGAAGATAATCCAAAGGGAGAATTCAGAAAAAGTACCAAATCAAGCTTTCAGAGGTTCATTTATTTTGTGGAGTTGGTTAAGCAGCTAATTAACTGCACTGTCCAGGCAGTGCCCTTTGGCTTATTGTTCCTTTGATGTCTTAGAAACTAAGCCATGTGAAGTCTTCTTGTAGGAGGCAGTGAAGTATAGTGGAAAGAGCAAGGGCTTCAGAATCAGGTAGAGATATGCCTTGAATCCTGCCTTAGCCACTTACTAGTTGTGTGACCTTGGGCATTTGCCTTTCTGGTCCTTAGTTTCCATGTGTATAAAACAAAGCCAGTAATACCTTATGGAATAGTTAGAAGGATTAAATAGGATAACATGTTAATAACCTTGATACTGAAACTTGGTATTTAATAAATGGTGGTTATTACTATTGCTTTACCAGACCATAAAGAAAACACCTAGCCGCCGCCTTCTTCTTCTTTTTTTTTTTTTTTTTAAACTCAAATGCTTGGGATTGCATTGTCTTACACTCTTCATTAATGCCAGTTTTGCAGTCGCTAAAAAAAGGGACAGCCTAGTCTTTTTCTTGTGTTCTTTTTCTTTCATTTTCATGAGTGATTTCCCCCTCCCCCCATCAGAGACCTAAACAGACTCATTTAGAGATTACCATTTGGTGAATGAAATTGATGGGGGAATTTTTTTCTCCCAAGATTCCCCAAAGCCAAAGTTTCTCTGTATCTTTCAATCTAGAAAAAGAAGTTTATATATTTCTATTCCGGGTCCCTTGGAAGATCGAAACTTGACTTCAGTTTCAGATGCTACAGAGTTCAGAGATCACATTAGCTCATGAAAAATCATCCTCCTTCTTACTGAACTGTCAGCAAATGCTCATAAAGCTTTTAGTTGAGGTACTCCAGAAATGTAGTGTTATTAATGTGTCATCCAAATTAGTAAGCAACCGGATGACTAATTTCTTTGGGATCTTCACCTAAGTGTAGGAATTTCGTTTGGGGGGCACTAGGGTGACTCAGTGGATTAAGCCTCTGCCTTCGCCTCAGGTCATGATCTCAGGGTCCTGGGATCGATCGAGCCCCACATCGGGCTCTCTGCTCAGCAGGGAGGTTGCTTCCCTCACCCCTCTCTGCCTGCCTCTCTGCCTACTTGAGATCTCTGTCTGCCAAATAAATAAATAAATAAATAAATAAATAAATAAATAAGAAATTTCCTTTGGGGGATGTTTGTCTCTCAGGCTGATGGCTGGTTCTGCTTTAGTGACTCTATTCTACATAGTCTTTTTGTTTTCTCCAGGGACAATGGTGACAGATCCAGGCACCGAGCTCCACGCAATGCCCGGATGTCCGCACCTTCACTTGGACGCTTCGTTCCAAGGTAAGAACTGGGTGGTCAGTCTTTATGAGGGAGCCTTTATGAGAGCCTGGGATTTTGTTTTTAAACCTACTTTTGGACTTCGGGTTCTGTATCTGGAATTATTTCCTAGTCAGCCTGTAATCCAGCCATGCCACCTAAAGACTTGACAGGAGATGATTGGCCACAATGAAAAGAGATAGAAGAGTGGCCTGGGGAGTATCCTATTCAAGATTAGAAGCCCTGTGAAACTACAGAAGAAAGACAGGAAGGAGATACAAGTCTGCAGGACAGATTCCAGAAATTTTTACAATGTGCGGGGCTTCTGTGGATTCTAAGTTTAGTGGATCCCTTAGCCTTGACTGTTGGGGGTAATGGATAGTATATCTCCTTTGTTTTATGGAATGTTTCATGGGCTTCTCATACGTTGTTCCTTCTTATAGGCGTTTCTTGCTGCCTGAGTACTTGCCTTATGCGGGGATTTTTCATGAACGTGGACAGCCTGGCTTGGCAACTCACTCTTCTGTTAACAGGGTCCTGGCAGGTAAGGAAATGTTTCTTTGGAATTTGAAAAGTTGAAGGGGCAGGGAGCCAGAGAAAGCTTTCCCCTCCTTTACCTATGTTGTTGTGATGGCATCTTGGCATCTGGCTGAAAACTGTTTTGTACCCAGTTCCTTATTTCAAGGCAGGAAACGAGAATGGAGCAAACCTGGTTTATCTTGCCCATTCCCACTTCCTTCAAACATCTTTTTTAAAAAACCTTGTTTAAACTCTTTGTTTCTTAATCTGACAATTAGATTCTAGCTATGCTTTTAATTGAATGATAAAGGTGTCTTGTTCATGTTTTGGTTGGTGAGATACTCATGAACCGGATCCTGTGATTTAATTAGGAGTTTAATGCACACCTCTTCAACCCTTCACTCATCTGCCCGCAGATGGAGTTTCCAGGCACTGTGGAATCTTCCAGGGAAGGAGGAGGAGAGGGGACCCATAAGGCTGGTTCAGAAACATCAGAAACAGAAAATAGGCTGGACAAGCCCAGCTGAGGCAGTTCTATGGTGGCTGACTAGCTTAGCAACAGATGTTTTTGGCCTAAGCTACATGATGTGACCAGGCTCTCAGATGTAGTGTGTGCTGCTGCTTCTGGACAGTGTCTAGAGAAGAAAACAAAGCAGGATTCTGTTTTTTTCTGATAAAGGTTATTTCCCTTTCACACTCTTTCCTCCACTTCCCCCTCACCTCTACTGCCAACCTCTAAATTTATGTATGTGAAGGCATAATCGGTATAAAAATCAATCCACATTTAGGTGTGTCTTTAATTAGCATCTATTAGAAATTTCTTAAAGACATTATGTTTCAGAAAATCTGGGCTATGTGGTGGTAAAGGTAGGAAGGGATCTGGGTGAGACAGTAACACTGTCAGCCTGGGAGAATGTGATTTCTAACCAAGCTACTGTGACAGCTAGAAGGCCATAGGATCTCTGGTCACTCTTAGGCAGGACTGTCCTTAACCCAGTGTCAAGACCTAGAAGTCCTAGAAACCTCAGTGGTTTCTCTGCTAGCCACCAGACTCTTTGTCGGCCCAGCCTTGTTTGGGGAGCAGACTGCATCTGGTCCCCTAATGAGCTTGTCTGAGGACCTCTGGCCCTAGTGGGTGAACAGACGCCATGCCTTGGTGCCTCCCCATGCTTGGTGTTTCTGTGTGGCTTGGCTGATGGTGTGTGGAAGCTCCTTACTGGCAGATAATCACTTACTGCCAGGCAGTACTACAGAGCTCTTCTCCACCCTGTGTTCCAGACATCTGCCTCCATCACCCCACACAGCACCTCCTGTTCCTCTACTGCTAGAAAATCTCTGTTTCCTTGGCATTTAGCTTTGCTTAGGAACAGCTGTATGTTTATTTCTTCCTTAGATTTAAGAACTCTACCGCCATTTCCTGTTTCCTCCTTTATGCCCAGAGGTCTGACCCCCAAAAGGCCCACTTTAACTTATGGATACTTTTGAATACAGGGGTTGTGTTCCAGCAGGTAGTTGTTAACAGATATGAAATCTACTGAGAAAAGTTCTCTAGCAAAGAATGCAAAGTATCTCAAGGGGAAGGAAATCTAGATTCTCAAGAACCTCACTCTTGAATTAGGTTAGCAGATGGTTTGCATTCACAATTAAACCAGTTTCTTCTGTTTTCTGAAGATACATGTTATAGAGCGCCTATTGGTCTTTTCGTAAAGGCCCTCATCATTTGTAGATTCAGGTTTCCTCTGCTGTCCAAAAGTGGAGTGTTCTTACAGAACCTTTTGCAAGCCAAAATGGCACAAAGTGAAGAAGCAATTACCATTAATTCATACGGAAAAAATTTTTAGTGTACCCAAACCCAAAAAACAAGGTCTCTTAGGCTTTTCTGATACCTTACGACGCATCTTGCTAATGGAGGCACAAAATAAATTGAGATAAAGCACAGATGTACTCCCAGACGCGGTTCAGAGCTCTGGCAGGTTGATGTTCGGTGTGCACGCTGCCTCGATAACAGCTTGCTGCAAAGCAAATGTTGAATGCTAGTTTCACTTTTCGTCTTTTTTCATAAGAGTAAAATCCTCTTCAGATTTCCTTTACTTAGTGAAAGCAAGGTACTAATGTAGGTCTTTTGTAAAACTGAAATGGTGTAACACAAACTTTGAAGAAGTGACAGCGCCCAGGGGTGGGGGGCTGGGTACCTGTGTTTGGGTATGGAGGAAGCTAAAGCCCAGAAGACTAACTTGTCCAGAGTAATACAGCTGGAAGTTGAGGAGCCAGAACTGAACCAGGCAGTGGGACTCCAAAGCTTCCTAGTCTGCCTCCCTCCGTACAGTTATTTTAAAAAAGACAGAGCATCAAAATAGCGTGCTTCTTCCAGGACCTTAATCTAGAGGGAAAGAGCTCCCAGGGAACTTGGCTGATTTCCAGGATTTTTCTTAATTGCATTAATTCCTCTTTATCTATTTATTTTATTTTGTTTTATTTTTTAAGATTTTTATTTGTCAGAGAGAGCATAAGCACACAAGCAGAGGGAATGGCAGGCAGAGAGAGAGGCAGGCTCCCCGCTGAGCAGGGAGCCTGATGTAGGACTCGATCCCAGGACTCTGGGATCATGACCTGAGCCAAAAACAGATACTTAACCAACTGAGCCACCCAGGCATCCTTAATTCCTCTGTTTTAAGTGGTTTCTAGACATAGCCTTTTATACCCAGTGGAGCTTGCTGAGGAAAATCATTATGTCATAGCCCTTTTTTTGAGCCTTCTAGTGGATGCAGATTTTTGCTTTGTATTAAACTTACTGCGATCATGTAATAGAGCTCCTGTAATAACAGCTTTTGGAGTGAAAGACAAATTGGCTTGTTAGCAGTAAGCACTCCCAGTTTTCCTAGAAAGGCAGTTTCACTTGTATGATTGGAATGAGGTTGTGATAGTCTCAAAACAATTACATTCAACAGGTATTTTTTGTGTAGCTATGTGCCAGGCACTGTTCTGGGGTACCAGAATGAATAAGAGGCATGATTCTTGTCCTCCTATAGCTCAAAGTCTAGATGGTTGACCATACCTCAATCTGGCTGTTTGGTTCTTAGCTCCAAACATCAATCAAACCTTTTTTTTTTTTTTTAAGATTTTATTTATTTAAGAGAGAGATAAAGCACAGGCAGAGAGAGGAACAAAGAGAGGGGGCAGAGGGGAGAAGCAGGCTCCCCACTGAGCAAGGAACCCGATGCTGGTCTTGATCCTAGGACCCTGGGATCATGACCTGAGCCAAAGGCAGGTGTTTAACCAGCTGAGCCACCCAGGTGCCCTAAAGCCAAACTCTTTGAAAGGTGAATGCCTTTTTGCCTGGATGAAGCATACACACACCTGCAGTTTTTGGAGGTGTGACCTGGAGGTGTGACCAGGTGTGGCAAACGAGTCTCCTGTAGGCCAAAGCCATTCAGTCATCAACAAAAAATGGATTTGCAGATAATTAAGATCCATTCTGCCCACTTCCTTGCACATGATCCTGAGAGTGATAATAGAAAACAGAAGCTACTACAAAGAAGTGTTTTGATTGTTAATTTTCATCTCTTCCTCTTTATCTTGGTGCCTTCCCCACAATTCTGTAGGTTCCTGGTGGCCTCTAGTCACCCATCAACCCATGTCATGCCCCTTCTTTAGCAACACAAGTTCTGAACCTATACTAAAAGTAATATAAGTAAATTTAAAGCTACTGCAACTCTACCAGGTGTATTTCTGGGGAACACAGAGAAGTCGGGGGAGCTCCCCCTGCTGACTTTTTAGTAGACAGCTTTAGCTCTGTGCAGTGACAGCCACTGCTAGTAAAGGACATAAAGTTAATGACTGCCTGCAGTGAGCCACGTGCTGTCCTAAGTGCTTTCCCATATATTACCTCCTATAATTGTTATGGCAGCCCTGTGAAGTAGATCATCCATTTCCGTGCTGCAGGGGGAAAAACTGACATTCAGAGAAGTTAGGTCACTTGCCTGATACAACACAGTAAGAGGCCGACCTAGAACTTTAAACCAGTTCTGTCTGCCTGACTCATAATCTTCTGTGCCATGTTTTGCCTGGGTTTAAGTAGGGGGTACCTGCCGAAAGGTTCATAAGCTTACAGTATTTTTCTGCATGTTTGAGGCCTCATAAAAGTGAAATGAGAAGCCCTGGCATTGACATCTTCCTGGTAATTACTGGAAGAATAAAAAACTTCTGAGGGATAGAGACCTGGGTAATGTAGATTATTAGTTATATGTCCTGCCTAATCTTTTTGACTTTCATCCTAATGAGCATCTGTTCCCAGCAGATGTGGGCCTGATGTACTTAATTTAGTGTTTTGATTAAAATCAATAGGTCAGGATTTTCTTGCCCTTTGCCACAGGTCATTGGGGCCTGGTTGAGTGTCCTGGGCTATAGATGGCTTTGTGCCCAGTCATCCTAATTTTTCTAATTGCCCAGTCATCCTAATTTTTCTCTTAAAAAAATCTCTTTTCTCTTTTACCCACTAGACGTTTAGGAATGTGTTCTTCAATTTTCATGTATTTGTGAATTTCCCAAATTTCCTTCTGTTGTTGATTTCTTATTTCAGTTATCTTAATTTCTTATTTCAGTTATCTTATCAGAAATCTTATCAGATTTCTTATTTCAGTTATCTTAATTTATTGAAACTTGTTTTATGGCTTAGCACATGGTGTGTCCTGGAGAATGTTACCTGTGTGCTTGAGTAGAATATGTATTCTGTTGTTGCATGGAGTGTGCTGTAGATGTTGGGGAGATCTACTTGGTTGATAGTGTCATTAAAGTTTTATATATCCTTGCTGATTTTTGGTCTAGTTGTCCTATCCCTTAAGACGGAGGCATTGAAATTTCTAATTATTATTGCTGAATTGTGTATTTCTCCATTTAGTTTTGTCAGGTTTTGCCTTATATATTTTGAGACCTTGTTGTTAGGTACATATATTTTTATAGTTGTTATGCCTTTGTGATGAATTTAACTCTTATCATTATAAAATGTCATTATAATAAATGTCTCTT